GACGTGGGTCAGGTGACTGTCGGCGGTTAGACGTGTCCCAGGGACGTGGGTCAGGTGACTGTCGGCGGGTAGACGTGTCACAGTGACGTGGGTCAGGTGACTGTCGGCGGGTAGACGTGTCCCAGGGACGTGGGTCAGGTGACTGTCAGCGGGTAGACGTGTCCCAGGGATATGGGTCAGGTGACTGTCGGCGGGTAGACGTGACTGTCGGCGGGTAGACGTGTCCCAGGGACGTGGGTCAGGTGACTGTCGGCAGGTAGACGTGTCCCAGGGACATGGGTCAGGTGACTGTTGGCGGGTAGACATGTCCCGGTGACGTGGGTCAGGTGACTGTTGGCAGGTAGACGTGTCCCAGGGACGTGGGACAGGTGACTGTCGGCGGGTAGACGTGTCCCAGGGATATGGGTCAGGTGACTGTCGGCGGGTAGACGTGTCCCAAGGGACGTGGGTCAGGTGACTGTCGGCAGGTAGACGTGTCCCAGGGATGTGGGTCAGGTGACTGTCGGCGGGTAGACGTGTCCCTGTGACGTAGGTCAGGTGATTGTCGGCGGGTAGACGTGTCCCTGTGACGTGGGTCAGGTGACTGTCGGCGGGTAGACGTGTCCCTGTGACTGTCGGCGGGTAGACGTGTCCCAGGGATGTGGGTCAGGTGACTGTCGGCGGGTAGACGTGTCCCTGTGACTGTCGGCGGGTAGACGTGTCCCTGTGACTGTCGGCAGGTAGACGTGTCCCAGGGACGTGGGTCAGGTGACTGTCGGCGGGTAGACGTGTCCCAGGGACGTGGGTCAGGTGACTGTCGGCGGGTAGACGTGTCCCAGGGATATGGGTCAGGTGACTGTCGGCGGGCAGACGTGACTGTCGGCGGGTAGACGTGTCCCAGGGACGTGGGTCAGGTGACTGTCGGCGGGTAGACGTGTCCCTGTGACTGTCGGCGGGTAGACGTGTCCCAGGGATGTGGGTCAGGTGACTGTCGGCGGGTAGACGTGTCCCTGTGACTGTCGGCGGGTAGACGTGTCCCTGTGACTGTCGGCGGGTAGACGTGTCCCTGTGACTGTCGGCAGGTAGACGTGTCCCAGGGACGTGGGTCAGGTGACTGTCGGCGGGTAGACGTGTCCCAGGGACGTAAGTCAGGTGACTGTCGGCGGGTAGATGTGTCCCAGTGACGTGGGTCAGGTGACTGTCGGCGGGTAGACGTGTCCCGGTGACGTGGGTCAGGTGACTGTCGGCGGGTAGATGTGTCCCAGTGACGTGGGTCAGGTGACTGTCGGCGGGTAGACGTGTCCCTGTGACTGTCGGCAGGTAGACTTGTCCTGGTGACGTGGGTCAGGTGACTGTCAGCGGGTAGACGTGTCCCGGTGACGTGGGTCAGGTGACTGTCGGCGGGTAGACGTGTCCCAGGGACGTAAGTCCGGTGACTGTCGGCGGGTAGACGTGTCCCGGTGACGTGGGTCAGGTGACTGTCGGCGGGTATACAGACAGACGTATATACAGTATATACAATACACGGGCTGCTTGTGAGGCCGCCTGTCTCCTTCGTGAATTGCTTCCCGTGTAACGTTTCCTCCAATCTCCTCCTCGTCTCATCTAGGTGTCATCCTGGCAGATCAGCCCACTGACGTGTCCCAGGACGCTCCGGCAGTGCCAGCCTCTTACGTGCCGCAGGAGGGGAAGCGTCAGTACGACCGGGACTTCCTGCTGGGGTTCCAGTTCATGCCGGCCTGTGTGCAGAAACCAGAAGGCTTGCCGCCCATCAGCGACGTGGTCCTGGACAAAGTGAGGAGAGAGGGAGGTGTCTAGGTGCAGTCTGTGTGTTGTGATTGGACACATTGTGGGTGTTCTGTCCTCGTGTCTCCCTGTGTGTGATATCCGGGTGTCTGGTGCTTCTCGTGGGGGAGGGACGAGGTGTTCTCTCCTGGTGCTGGCTGTGCTGTCTCTTCTTCCAGTACTTAAAGCCCAACTCCGGGCAGGAAGGGTGCTGTGCCCACATTGCAGGGGGTAATGGTGTGTATTGTCTATGGGAGAAGACAGACCGACTCAACCTGAACCTGCACTCCCCCAGCAGGCGGTGCGCCCCACAATCCGGCAGGGGACTCTTCCTCTGCGTCCTCATGTCCACTGCAGGGCTATGGACCCTGCTCTGGGGGGCAGACACTGTGGGGAGGAGTGCAGGATTGGGTGAGCATATCAACTTTTATTAATCCCTTAGACCAGTGGTCTCCAAGATGTGGCCCTTTGCTTGCCTTTCACCAGCCCATGGGGCACTATTCCCCCCACTGACACCAATGATGGGGCACTATTCCTCCCACTGACACCAATGATGGGGCGCTATTTCCCCCCACTGACACCAATAATGGGGCACTATTCCCCCCACTGACACCAATGATGGGGCGCTATTCCTCCCACTGACACCAATGATGGGGCGCTATTCCCCCCACTGACACCAATGATGGGGCGCTATTCCCCCCACTGACACCAATGATGGGGCGCTATTCCCCCCACTGACACCAATGATGGGGCGCTATTCCCCCCACTGACACCAATGATGGGGCGCTATTCCCCCCACTGACACCAATGATGGGGCGCTATTCCCCCCACTGACACCAATGATGGGGCGCTATTCCCCCCACTGACACCAACGATGGGGCGCTATTCCCCCCACTGACACCAACGATGGGGCGCTATTCCCCCCACTGACACCAACGATGGGGCGCTATTCCCCCCACTGACACCAACGATGGGGCGCTATTCCCCCCACTGACACCAACGATGGGGCGCTATTCCCCCCACTGACACCAACGACGGGGCGCTATTCCCCCCACTGACACCAACGACGGGGCGCTATTCCCCCCACTGACACCAACGACGGGGCGCTATTCCCCCCACTGACACCAACGACGGGGCGCTATTCCCCCCACTGACACCAACGACGGGGCGCTATTCCCCCCACTGACACCAACGACGGGGCGCTATTCCCCCCCACTGACACCAACGACGGGGCGCTATTCCCCCCACTGACACCAACGACGGGGCGCTATTCCCCCCCACTGACACCAACGACGGGGCGCTATTCCCCCCACTGACACCAACGACGGGGCGCTATTCCCCCCACTGACACCAACGACGGGGCGCTATTCCCCCCCACTGACACCAACGACGGGGCGCTATTCCCCCCACTGACACCAACGACGGGGCGCTATTCCTCCCACTGACACCAACGATGGCGCATTGTTACCGACACCAGAACGTTTCTACTCCTGGCCCCAGTCTGGGCCCTCTAATGTCTGAAGGATAAGTTGGCCCTTACTTTAGAACGTTTGGAGCCCCCCCCCCCCCTTGGACAAGTGATGAACCCTTGCACTGTGGGCACGCTCCTGTTCTAGTTGCCCGGAGTCGGGCTTCACGGGCCGGATTATAAAGGTGGCAAAGTCATTGCTTTTTGGTTCAATGCTGGAAACTATAAAGGGTAAAAAAAAAGGGGGCGGGGGGAGGGGGGAGGGGGCGGGGTCGCCTTTAATAGACCGGCAGATTTCCTGAACCATCATCTCCAGTAAAGAGAACCTGTCCTGCTGAGCCTGTATGAAGCGGCCCTTCCTGATGTCACATTTCATCATGTCCCCGTCCAATTACAGATCAATCAGCCCAAGCTGGCCATGAGGACTCTGGACACGCGCATGCTGCAGAAGGGGCCGGACTTCACCCCAGCATACGCAGATTTTGGGCGCTTAGCCCCGGGGGGTCGTGGGGTTCCGGTGAGTATTTTCTTTATTCATCTCAGAGGTTTACAACCAATTATTGACTAATGAACAAAGCATATCCTTCTATAGTTTACACTTGCCGCTATCCAAAGCTCTGAGTGTGATTTCTGTTGGCTGCCTCCTTCCTCTGCATCAGTCACGTCTGACAGGTTATGCCAACTCCAGGGGTTCCAGGGTGATGGGGAGGGGAGCTCCTGTGCAAAGCCTGTGATTGACAGCCTCAGCTGTGCATGTTTCCCCATGAGACTGTAGAGGTCTGTCCATTCCCTCTTCTCAGGTCTCAGATTACACTCAGCTCTATGCTGTCCAGTGTGTGACATGAATATCCCCCCACCCCCTGCCTTCTCAACCTCAGAAATGCTGTGTAAATTCTGCACTTTGAACAACTGAAGAAGGGGAGGAAACACTGCAGATAAACAGGTACAACTTACGCAGGAGGATTTGTTTCTTCTCTGTGTATCACCTGAGGATAGTCACCTCACTGGGTGTATGGAGGCTGGACAGCCACTTTAACCTCTTGGCGCCGGCCGCACGCAAATGTTCGTCCTCCCAGCGTCTGGGCCTCGACACCGAGCGGCCGCACATTTGTGTGCGATTAAGAAAAACATACGTGGTGAGAGCGAGTGCCCTGCGGACCCGGCACACGTCCGTGTACTCACAGAAAGGTCCTGACTCTTGCGATTGGGACCTTTCCCGATCATGTGACCGCCATGGCAGCGAATCACGTGGTCACATGACCTAAAACCCCGCCTACCTCCCTGCTTCTGAAACACTTAAAGGGTCAGGAGGCTGTAGAGGTCTGTCCATTCCCTCTCTCGGGGGTGGTGATGGGGGTTGGGGGGGGGGGGGTTCCCGGTGATGGGATGGGGTGCAGGGGTGGGGAATGATGGGAATCGGGCACAGGAGGCCGGCGGTGGGATGGGGCACAGGACCCGGCGGTGGGATGGGGCACAGGAGGCCCTGCGGTGGGAAACAGGAGGCCGGCGGTGGGATGGGGCACAGGAGTCCCCGGGGGGTGGGATCGGGCACAGGAGGCCGGCGGTGGGTGGGGAGAGTCTGTGGGGCACAGGAGGCCGGGGTGGGATGGGGCACAGGAGGCCGGGGGGGGTGGGGCATGGGAGGCCGGGGTGGGATGGGGCACAGGAGGCCGGCGGGGGATGGGGCACAGGAGGGTGGGTGGGATCGGGCACAGGAGGCAGCGGTGGGATGGGGCACAGGAGGCCGGCGGTGGGATGGGGCACAGGAGGCCGGGGGTGGGATGGGGCACAGGAGGCCGGCGGTGGGATGGGGCACAGGAGGCCGGGGTGGATGGGGCACAGGAGGCCGGGGGTGGGATGGGGCACAGGAGGCCGGCGGTGGGATGGGGGCACAGGAGGCCGGGGTGGGATGGGGCACAGGAGGCCGGCGGTGGGATGGGGCACAGGAGGCCGGCGGTGGGATGGGGCACAGGAGGCCGGGGGTGGGATCGGGGCACAGGAGGCCGTGGGTGGGATGGGGCACAGGAGGCCGGCGGTGGGATGGGGCACAGGAGGCCGGCGGTGGGATGGGGCACAGGAGGCCGGCGGTGGGATGGGGCACAGGAGGCCGGGGGTGGGATCGGGCACAGGAGGCCGGCGGTGGGATGGGGCACAGGAGGCCGGGGGTGGGATGGGGCACAGGAGGCCGGCGGTGGGATGGGGCACAGGAGGCCGGCGGTGGGATGGGCACAGGAGGCCGGGGTGGGATGGGGCACAGGAGGCCGGGGGTGGGATGGGGCACAGGAGGCCGGGGTGGGATCGGGCACAGGAGGCCGGGGTGGGATCGGGCACAGGAGGCCGGGGGTGGGATCGGGCACAGGAGGCCGGCGGTGGGATGGGGCACAGGAGGCCGGGGGGTGGGATGGGGCACAGGAGGCCGGCGTGGGATGGGGCACAGGAGGCCGGCGGTGGGATGGGGCACAGGAGGCCCGGGGTGGGATGGGGCACAGGAGGCCCGGGGGTGGGATGGGGCACAGGAGCCCGGGGGTGGGATGGGGCACAGGAGGCCCGGCGGTGGGATGGGGCACAGGAGGCCCGGCGGTGGGATGGGGCACAGGAGGCCGGGGGTGGGATGGGGCACAGGAGGCCCGGCGGTGGGATGGGGCACAGGAGGCCGGGGGTGGGATGGGGCACAGGAGGCCGGGGGTGGGATTAGGGAAGTTGGCTGTACACAAGAGATGGACAGAAGATCGGATTTATTGGCTGAACCAGAGCAAGTGATGGCAGAGCAGGGCCACCATTAGAAGTCATGGGGTCCCAGTCAGCCTACCTCATGGGGCCCTGTACCACCTACCTGACAGGCTCCACCCCCCGTGTGCTTGTCAGTGTTGGTGTGTACAATGTGTGGGAGATGTCATGGTCACATGGACAGTCATTGCCCGTCTGCCTGTGTTTGGGAGTCCCGTACACTGCTGATACGGAGTCTCTAGGATTGACTATTCCTGTCAGCAGCATGACACCCACAGGTGGCCCCTGCCAAGCCCGGGGCCCCCTCCCTTGACCTGATTGGTCGCAGGCCCAGGACAGGAGTCTTCCCTACTGGTGGCCCCCCGTGGTAGCCTCTTCCTGCTCTTGTAGGGATGGGTATGCTTGTTTCCATAAAGTGTGGAATTTGGTGATGGGAACAATCGGGAAATGTCTGCCGCGTTTGGCCCTTCCGTCTTCCAGCTGCTGAACGTTGGTGGTCCCAGGCGGTCACAGCCGGGGCAGAGAAGGGAGCCTAGGAAGATCATCATGAACATCTCGGTGACAGACGACGTCCACCTGAAGAAGTCCGAGAACGCCTGGAAGCCCAGCGTGAAGAGAGACAGCCAGCCTGAGGACCCTGAGGCTGTCCGCACCCAGGTGAGCCTACCTATGGGGGGAGCGGTCCCTGCCAATCGCTGCGCCAAGATCGCATCAAGACGGACGGCAGGGCCATGGGGGGGGGGGGGGGGGGGAGACATCCAGATCCCTTGTCTGACTTCTCCTGTGGGGGCCCTTCCTGACGCCCATCGGGGGGGACAGTCCCTGATATATATGCCAGCTGCTGCAGGTTGGGCAGAGGCCGTCTTCCTGAAGTCGATGATATTGTGCTGTGTAACCCCTTCAGGACCGCCCAGCGCGCTTTTTACTGCTGTGCCGGATCACGTACCTGTTCCTGCATTTCCAGGTAGAGGGGGGCGCCTGCTGCCCCATCTGTGCTGTCATTCGCTACAATTCGGTCAGCTGATTATTTTTGGGCGGGACCTGCTGATCGACTTAGCGAATGGCAATGCAGAGCTCTGTGTTTACTAACAACACAGAGCCCTACATGGAACAGGGACGTGCCCATTGCAGTGACACAAAAAACAAAGACATCTAGTAGTAGAAGCGGCACGCAATATGCATTGTGCGGCACACGGTTAATTCCTGGATTGCCCTCCGGATGTTGACCCCCTTCCCAACAAAGCAAAAAAAAAAAAGATGCCCTGGTCATGAAGGGGGTAAAACCTTCCTGGGGGGTCAAGTGGTTAATGATGGTCCAGTTAAATCTTTTATTTATCTGCAAGAAAATGATTGGGTCTGACCTGTGAGCCGTCCTTCTCCTGCGCAGGCTCTCTTCCGAAAGGTCCGCAGCATCCTGAACAAGCTGACGCCACAAATGTTCAACCAGCTGATGAAGCAGGTGACGGACCTGACCGTGGACACGGAGGAGAGGCTGAAGGGCGTCATTGACTTGGTCTTCGAGAAGGCGCTCGATGAGCCCAGCTTCTCTGTAGCATATGCCAACATGTGCCGATGCCTTGCCACGGTGAGTGAACGGATCAGGCATTCATCTATATCACAGGTGTACTGGCCCCTCCCCTTTCTGTCATGCACAGGTGTACTGGCTCCTCCCCTTTCTGTCATGCACAGGTGTCCCAGCTCCGGCATTCATCTATAGCACAGGTGTACTGGCCCCTCCCCTTTCTGTCATGCACAGGTGTCCCAGCTCCAGCATCATCTATAGCACAGGTGTACTGGCCCCTCCCCTTTCTGTCATGCACAGGTGTCCCAGCTCCAGCATCATCTATAGCACAGGTGTACTGGCCCCTCCCCTTTCTGTCATGCACAGGTGTCCCAGCTCCAGCATCATCTATAGCACAGGTGTACTGGCCCCTCCCCTTTCTGTCATGCACAGGTGTCCCAGCTCCAGCATCATCTATAGCACAGGTGTACTGGCCCCTCCCCTTTCTGTCATGCACAGGTGTCCCAGCTCCAGCATCATCTATAGCACAGGTGTACTGGCTCCTCCCCTTTCTGTCATGCACAGGTGTACTGGCTCCCCTTTCATCATAGCACAGGTGTACTGGCCCCTCCCCTTTCTGTCATGCACAGGTGTCCCAGCTCCGGCATTCATCTATAGCACAGGTGTACTGGCCCCTCCCCTTTCTGTCATGCACAGGTGTCCCCAGCTCCAGCATCATCTATAGCACAGGTGTACTGGCTCCTCCCCTTTCTGTCATGCACAGGTGTACTGGGCTCAGCTCCAGCATCATCTATAGCACAGGTGTACTGGCTCCTCCCCTTTCTGTCATGCACAGGTGTCCCAGCTGTACTGGCTGGCCCCTCCCCTTTCTGTCATGTCCCCAGGCATTCATCTATAGCACAGGTGTACTGGCTCCTCCCCTTTCTGTCATGCACAGGTGTCCCAGCTCCGGCATTCATCTATAGCACAGGTGTACTGGCCCCTCCCCTTTCTGTCATGCACAGGTGTCCCAGCTCCAGCATCATCTAGAGCTCGGGTGTCACTGGCGGCCCTCCAGCTGTTGCCAAACTACAAGTCCCATGAGGCATTGCAAGATTGACAGTTACAAGCATGACTCCCAAAGGCAGAGGCATGATGGGACTTGTAGTTTCTCAACAGCTGGAAGACCGCCAGTTTGGCACCCCTGAGGGATCGGAAACATCAATGGGGAAACTGCTGGGAAGAGCAGCCACTGCGGGAGGAATGTCGCGTCATAAAAGGCGGGGAGGAGCGGTCTCTGAGAGTTAAAGCAGAACTCCAGCCTCATTCCCCCCCCCAGATGTAGCAAGTCCTCTCCCATGTTGTCATGGATGACTCTCAATTCCCCGCACACTCACATTTGCACAATACAAGCCTTTGAGCTGCAGCAGCCATCTTGAGCCCACCTCCGTTTCTTGCCTTGCCCTCTCCTGATCCATTCTGTCATTGGCCAGCTTCTCACAGCTATTGGCTTTCTTTTGCTAGCAATCTTTGCATGCTCCTGATTAACTGTGTGATCTGCTGATCAGTTGCTTGTGCACAAAGTGTAACCAAGCAACTGATCAGCAGATTGCACAGCTAAAGTCTACCATACCCAGTGGCCTGTAGGGATGCAGGTCCCAAATGCATGATGTGGACTCTTTCAGAAATACTAGAGGCAGGGTGCTTTCGCCATTACAGGAGCCTGCTGGCCCCCTCCCACCAGACTCAGTCCTCCTATAGGTCAAAGGACAGCATCACTGGGTTTCAGAAGAGGCATTTCCTACAAATGAGATCAATAGATTGAAAATCTGTCATTTATCTTCCAGGGGAGAGCGCCCCCTACATGTGTGTGTGGTGGTTGCAGCCAAGGCCTGTCTCTGTATCATGGACTGTTCTTCCCTTCTAGCTGAAAGTTCCGATGGCCGACAAGCCGGGGGGGAGCACCGTGAACTTCCGCAAACTGCTGCTAAATCGCTGCCAGAAGGAGTTCGAGAAGGACAAAGCCGACGACGACGTGTTCGAGAAAAAGCAGAAAGAACTGGAGCTGGCGTCCATGGTAATGATACCGCCATGTCCCAGATATGGGGGGGTATGTCCCTCATACATCAGTCCCAGATATAGAGGGGGGTATGTCCCTCATACATCAGTCCCAGATATAGAGGGGGGGTATGTCCCTCATACATCAGTCCCAGATATAGAGGGGGGTATGTCCCTCATACATCAGTCCCAGATATAGAGGGGGGTATGTCCCTCATACATCAGTCCCAGATATGGGGGGGGGGGGTATGTCCCTCATACATCAGTCCCAGATTATGGGGGGGGGGGTATGTCCCTCATACATCAGTCCCAGATATATAGGGGGGGTATGTCCCTCATACATCAGTCCCAGATATAGAGGGGGGGGTATGTCCCTCATACATCAGTCCCAGATATAGGGGGGGGGGGGGTTATGTCCCTCATACATCAGTCCCAGATATAGAGGGGGGTATGTCCCTCATACATCAGTCCAGATATAGGGGGGGGGGGGGTATGTCCCTCATACATCAGTCCCAGATATCGGTATGTCCCCATACATCAGTCCCAGATAGGGGGGGGGGTATGTCCCTCATACATCAGTCCCAGATATGGGGGGGGTATGTCCCTCATACATCAGTCCCAGATATGGGGGGGGGGGGTATGTCCCTCATACATCAGTCCCAGACATAGAGGGGGGTATGTCCCTCATACATCACATATCAGTCCCAGATATGGGGGGGGGGGGGGGGGGTATGTCCCTCATACATCAGTCCCAGATATGGGGGGGGGGGGGGGTATGTCCCTCATACATCAGTGTCCTCCCAGATATGGGGGGGGGTATGTCCCTCATACATCAGTCCCAGATATGGGGGGGGGGGTATGTCCCTCATACATCAGTACCCCAGATATGGGGGGGGGTATGTCCCCTCATACATCAGTCCCAGATATGGGGGGGGGGGGGTATGTCCGTCATGAGCATACATCAGTCCCAGATATGGGGGGGGGGGGTATGTCCCTCATACATCAGTCCAGATATATGGGGGGGGGTATGTCCCCCTCCCTCATTACATCAGTCCCAGATATGGGGGGGGGTATGTCCCTCATTCATTACATCAGTCCCGATATGGGGGGGGGGGTATATGTCCCTCATACATCAGTCCCAGATATGGGGGGGGGGTATGTCCCTCATACATCAGTCCCAGATATGGGGGGGGGGGTATGTCCCTCATACATCAGTCCCAGATATGGGGGGGGGGGGGTAATGTCCCTCATAGTCCCTCATAATCAGTCCCAAATATGGGGGGGGGGTATGTCCCTCATACATCAGTCCCAGATATTGGGGGGGGGTATGTCCTGATAAGGGGGACGTGGTTTGATCCCTCATACATCAGTCCCAGATATGGGGGGGGTATGTCCCTCATACATCAGTCCAGATATGGGGGGGGGGGTATGTCCCTCATACATCAGTCCCAGATATGGGGGGGGGGTATGTCCCTCATCACATCTGTCCCAGTAATATGGGGGGGGGGTATAGGTCCGTCCCAGATATGGGGGGGGAAAAACGACCCTCATACATCAGTCCCAGATATGGGGGGGGGTATGTCCCTCATACATCCCATGGGGGGGGGGGTATGTCCCTCATACATCAGTCCCCAGAATATGGGGGGGGGGGGGTATATGTCCCTCATACATCAGTCCCAGATATGGGGGGGGGGTATATGTCCCTCATACATCAGTCCCAGTATGGGGGGGGGGGTATGTCCCTCATTACATCAGTCCCAGATATGGGGGGGGGGTATGTCCCTCATACATCACTTTCCCAGATATGGGGGGGGTATGTCCCCTCATACATCAGTCCCAGATATGGGGGGGGGTTATGTCCCCTCATACATCAGTCCCAGATATGGGGGGGGGGGGTATGTCCCTCATAAATCATCAGTCCCAGATATGGGGGGGTCTCTCTAAGGGGGGGGTATGTCCCTCATACATCAGGTCCCAGATATGGGGGGGGGTATGTCCCTCATACATCAGTTCCAGATATGGGGGGGGGTATATGTCCCTCATATACATCAGGGTCCCAGTTATCGGCGGGGGGGGGGGTATGTCCCTCATACATCAGTCCCACCTATAGTGGGGGGGGTATGTCCCTCCATACATCAGTCCCAGAATATGGGGGGGGGGGGGGGGTGGGTATGTGTCCCTCATACATCGGTCCCAGATATGGGGGGGGGGTTATGTCCCTCATACATTCTAGTCCAGATATGGGGGGGGGGTATGTCCCTCATACATCAGTTTCCCAGATATCGGGGGGGGGTATGTCCCTCATACATCGGTCCCAGATTATCGGGGGGGGGGGTATGTCCCTCATACATCGGTCCCACCTATAGAGGGGGGTATATGTCCCTCATTACATCAGTCCCAGATATGGGGGGGGGGGGGGGGGAGGTATGTCCTCTCATATACATCGGTCCAGATATGGGGGGGGGTTATGTCCCTCATAAATCGGTCTCCCAGATATGGTGGGGGGGGGTATGTCCCTCATACAATCGGTCCCACCTATAAGGGGGGGGGTATGTCCCTCATACATCGGTCCCAGATATAGAGGGGGGTATGTCCCTCATACATCCAGTCCCACCTATAGAGGGGGGTATGTCCCTCATACATCAGTCCCAGATATGGGGGGGGGGGGGGGGGGTAATGTCCCTCATACATCGGTCCCACCTATAGAGGGGGGTATGTCCCTCAGACATCAGTCCCAGATATGGGGGGGGGGGTATGTCCCTCATACATCGGTCCCAGACCTATGGGGGGGGGTATGTCCCTCATACATCAGTCCCACCTATGGGGGGGGGGGGGTATGTCCCTCATACAACCTGGGTCCCACCTATAGAGGGGGGTATGTCCCTCATACATATCGGTCCCACCTATGGGGGGGAGGGGGGTATGTCCCTCATACATCGTCCCACCTATAGAGGGGGGTATGTCCCTCATTCATCGTCCTCACTATTTACGGGGGGGGGTATGTCCCTATACATCGGTCCCAGCACCTATAGGGGGGGTATGTCCCTTCATACATCATTTACATCAGTCCCAGATATGGGGGGGGGGGTATGTCCTCATACATCAGGTCCCAGAAATATGGGGGGTGGGGGGTATGTCCCTCACAGCAACATCGGTCCCACCTATAGAGGGGGTATGTCCCCTCATACATCGGTCCCACCTATATAGAGGGGGGTATGTCCCTCATACAATCGGGTCCCCATCGGCCTATAGAGGGGGGTATGTCCCCTCATACATCGGTCCCCAATGGATGGGGGTTAGTGGGGGTAGTGTCCCTCATAACATCGGTCCCACCTATAGAGGGGGGTATGTCCCTCATACATCAGGTCCCAGATAGGGGGGGGGATAATGTGTCCCTCATACATCGGTCCCACCTATAGAGGGGGGTTGTCCCTCATACACATCATGGGGGGGGGGGGGTGTGTCCCTCATACATCGGTCCCATATAGAGGGGGGTATGTCCCTCATACATCGGTCCCACCTATAGAGGGGGGTATTGTCCCTCATTACATCGGTCCCCACCTATAGAGGGGGGTATGTCCCTCATACATCGGTCCCACCTATAGAGGGGGGTATGTCCCTCATACATCGGTCCCACCTATAGAGGGGGGTATGTCCCTCATACATATCGGGTCCCACCTATAGAGGTGGGGGGTATGTCCCTCATATCACATCGGTCCCACCTATAGAGGGGGGTATGGTCCCTCATCGGTCCCACTTATGGGAGGGGGGTATGTCCCCCTCACCCATCGGTCCCACCTATTGGGGGGGGGTACATGTGTCCCTCATACATCGGTCCCCCTATAGAGGGGGGTATGTCCCTCATACATCAGTCCCCAGAGTATGGGTGGGGGGGTATGTCCCTCATACATCGGTCCCACTATGGGAGGGGGGTATGTCCCTCATACATCAGTCCCAGATATGGGGTGGGGGGGTAATGTCCCTCATACATCGGTCCCCACCTATAGAGGGGGGTATGTCCCTCATACATCGGTCCACCTTTTTATATGGGGGGGGTATTGTGTCCCTCATACATCGGTCCCACCTATAGAGGGGGGTATGTCCCTCATACATCGGTCCCAACCTATAGAGGGGGGTATGTCCCTCATACATCGGGTTCCCAGACCTATAGAGGGGGGTATGTCCCTCATACATCGGTCCACCTATAGAGGGGGGTATGTCCCTCATACATCGGTCCCCACCTATAGAGGGGGTATGTCCTCTCATACAATCGGTCCCACCTATAGAGGGGGGTATGTCCCTCATACATCGGTCCCACCTATAGAGGGGGGGTATGTCCCTCATACAACATCGGTCCCACCTATAGAGGGGGGTATGTCCCTCATACATCAGTCCCAGCAATATAGGGGGGTATGTCCCTCATACATCGGTCCCACCTATAGAGGGGGTATGTCCCTCATACATCAGTCACCTATATGGGGGGGGGGGGTAATGTCCCTCATAGGGGGGTATGTCAATCGGTCCACCTATAGAGGGGGGTATGTCCCTCATACATCGGTCCCACCTATAGAGAGGGGGGTATGTCCCTCATACATCGGTCCCACCTATAGAGGGGGGTATGTCCCTCATACATCGGTCCCACCTATAGAGGGGGTATGTCCCTCATACATCGGTCCCCACCTATAAGGGGGGTAGTCCCTCATACATCTTGGGTCCCACCTATAGAGGGCGGGTATGTCCTCATGACAATCATTCGGCCAATAGGGGGGGGTATGTCCCGTCCTCATACAGAGAAGTTTTGGGTTTGCAGAGGAACGTCCCTACATTTCATTTCCCGCTGGAGGTCACACTTCTGTTTTATCCTTCAGTGCAAGTTTGGTTAGAAGTTTATAAACCATCTTGTCCTCCAATTGTAGAATGAAAGACCCGTCACCTAACGGGGGACAGAGCCAGGAGATAGCTGGGGACAGAATTGGGGTAGGGGAAATGTCCAGGGGATGGAAGGGGCTCTAGAGGTGGATGCCAGTGGAGGGATTGGCACAGAATGGTGGGGGACACTGAATGGAGGCCAGTGGAGGGATTGGCACAGAATGGTGAGGGGGGACACTGAATGGAGGCCAGTGGAGGGATTGCACAGAATGGTGGGGGACACTGAATGGAGGCCATGGTGGAGGGATTGGCACAGAATGGTGGAGGACACTGAATGGAGGCCAGTGGAGGGATTGGCACAGAAGGGTGGAGGACACTGAATGGAGGCCAGTGGAGGGATTGGCAGAGAGGGGTGGGAGGACACTGAATGGAGGTCAGTGGAAGGATTGGGCAGAGAGGGGTGGAGGACACTGAATGGAGGCCAGTGGAGGGATTGGCAGAGAGGGGTGGAGGACACTGAATGGAGGTCAGTGGAAGGATTGGCAGAGAGGGGTGGAGGACACTGAATGGAGGCCAGTGGAGGGATTGGCAGAGAGGGGTGGAGGACACTGAATGGAGACCAGTGGAGGGATTGGCAGAGAGGGGTGGAGGACACTGAGTGGAGGCCAGTGGAGGGATTGGCAGAGAGTGGTGGAGGACACTGACTGAATGGAGGCCAGTGGAGGGATTTGGCAGAGAGGGGTGGAAGGACACTGAATGGAGGCCGGTGGAGGGATTGGCAGAGAGGGGTGGAGGACACTGAGTGGAGGCCAGTGGAGGGATTTAGCAGAGGGGGGTGGAGAGGCACTGAATGGAGACCAGTGGAGGGATTGGCAGAGAGGGGTGGAGGACACTGAATGGAGGCCAGTAGAGGGATTGGCAGAGGGGGGTGGAGGACACTGAATGGAGGCCAGTAGAGGGATTGGCACAGATGGGTGGAGGACACTGAATGGAGGCCAGTGGAGGGATTGGCTCAGAGGGGTGGAGGACACTGAATGGAGGCCAGTAGAGGGATTGGCTCAGAGAGGGGGTGAGAGGCACTGAATGGAGGGCAGTAGAGGGATTGGCACAGATGGGTGGAGGACACTGAATGGAGGCCAGTGGAGGGATTGGCAGAGGGGGGTGGAGGGACACTGAATGGAGGCCAGTAGAGGGATTGGCACAGAGGGGTGGAGGGCACTGAATGGAGGCCTGTGGAGGGATTGGCTCAGATGGGTGGAGGACACTGAATGGAGGCCAGTGGAGGGATTGGCAGAGGGGGGTGGAGGACACTGAATGGAGGCCAGTGGAGGGATTGGCACAGATGGGTGGAGGGACACTGAATGGAGGCCAGTGGAGGGATTGGCTCAGATGGGTGGAGGACACTGAATGGAGGCCAGTGGAGGGATTGGCAGAGGGGGGTGGAGGACACTGAATGGAGGCCAGTGGAGGGATTGGCACAGATGGGTGGGAGGGACACTGAATGGAGGCCAGTGGAGGATTGGCACAGATGGGTGGAGGACACACTGAATGGAGGCCAGTGGAGGGATTGGCACAGAGGGGTGGAGGGACACTGAATGGAGGCCAGTGGAGGGATTGGCAGAGGGGGGTGGAGGACACTGAATGGAGACCAGTGGAGGGATTGGCAGAGAGGGGTGGAGGACACTGAATGGAGGCCAGTGGAGGGATTGGCAGAGGGGGGTGGAGGGCACTGAATGGGAGGCCAGTGGAGGGATTGGCACAGAATGGTGGAGGGCACTGAATGGAGGCCAGTAGAGGGATTGGCTCAGATGGGTGGAGGGCACTGAATGGAGGCCAGTAGAGGGATTGGCACAGAATGGTGGAGGGCACTGAATGGAGACCAGTGGAGGGATTGGCAGAGGGGATGGAGGACACTGGCCAGTGGAGGGATTGGCAGAGAGGGGTGGAGGGGCACTGAATGGAGACCAGTGGAGGGATTGGCAGAGGGGGTGTGGAGGCACTGAATGGAGGCCAGTGGAGGGATTGGCTCAGATGGGTGGAGGACACTGAATGGAGGCCAGTGGAGGGATTGGCAGAGAGGGGTGGAGGACACTGAGTGGAGGCCAGTGGAGGGATTGGCAGAGGGGGTGGAGGACACTGAATGGAGACCAGTGGAGGGATTGGCAGAGAGGGGTGGAGGACACTGAATGGAGGCCAGTGGAGGGATTGGCAGAGGGGGGTTGAGGGCACTGAATGGAGGCCAGTGGAGGGATTGGCTCAGATGGGTGGAGGACACTGAATGGAGGCCAGTAGAGGGATTGGCTCAGATGGGTGGAGGACACTGAATGGAGGCCAGTAGAGGGATTGGCACAGAATGGTGGAGGACACGGAGTGGTCTGAAGGTGGATGGTCTGGTAAGCAGTATTCAGGATAGACTGAAGGGGGGATGGTCTGTGTAGAGGTTGGCCGATGATTTGGACCTCACATTCTTCATCTTTCCGCAGGCAGAAGAGAAGACTCGTCTTCAGGAAGAGCTGGAGGATTCCCGGGACAAAGCCCGACTGCGGTCCATCGGGAACATCAAATTTATTGGTGAGCTTTTCAAGCTGAAGATGCTGACAGAGGCCATCATGCACGACTGTGTGGTGAAGCTGCTGAAGAACCACGACGAGGAGTCCCTGGAATGTCTCTGCCGCCTTCTCACCACCATCGGCAAAGACCTGGATTTTGAGAAGGCGAAGGTGAGCCAAGGAGAGGACAGACATGCAGGTTGTTAACCATTCATTGTGGGATCTGTGCACGGTGACCACTGCTCTGCCAGGTTCTAGACCTCCATACATGGGGACAGGTGCCCTTTGTTCCGGCTCACACTCCTTTGTTTCGTATTGCAGCCACGGATGGACCAGTACTTCCACCAGATGGAGAAGATTGTGAAGGAGAGGAAGACGTCCATCATCGCGGATCCGATTCATGTTGCAGGATGTCATAGACCTCAGACAGGTAGGAGACCTCTCAGTCAGCCTATGGGGAATGTGAGAAGCACATTGGCTGATCCTCTGGCTTCAGTGGTGGGGGAGGAGTCATGGTTCCACCCCTCCCAATGTCGGCCAGTAGGAGGAATAATGGGACACACACGAACAGAAACGTGCACCACCATCCAGGGACTGTGTTCCTCAAAGAAGGGCGACGCCTCTGCTCGGTGTTAGGGGCGGAGAGATGTAGCGGTAGAACCAATCAGTGTGATTGTGGGCGGTGCTAAGCACTACATGCTGTAGGTGGGAGTTGCTGGGGGAGTGTCTTTGACAGCCTGAGGACGTCACGCAGCCCAGAGGTGGAGTGGCAGCCATTGAACTGCAGTGAATGTTGGAGGAGAATGGTCTGACCAGCATAGCCGTACACCATGACGGGGCATCTGATCGGGTGAGTCTGGAGTTGTGCTTTAATGTCCCCATGGCAACCAATCGGCGTCTTCAGGAGAGGGTGACCAATCGGCGTCTTCAGGAGAGGGCGATAGTCGCCGTCTGCACAAATGTATTCAGCCGCAATCACGTCGCCTTCATAACGAGCGAATTCTCCACCTCCGGCAGTGCAACTGGGTGTCGCGTAGAGCCGACCAAGGGCCCAAAACCATCGAGCAGATTCACAAAGAGGCCAAGATCGAAGAGCAGGAAGAGCAGAGGAAGGTCCAGCAGCTGATGACCAAAGAGAAGCGAAGGCCAGGTGAGAATTGTGCCCCTCCCCCTCCTAGTAGCCCCTCCCCCTGTTGTCTTTTCTATCTCCCTATGGTGTGCTGATTGGTGTGTGCTCTGCAGGAGTCCAGAGAGTGGAGGAGGGCGGCTGGAATACGGTACAAGGGGCGAAGAATAACCGAGTGCTGGACCCCACCAAGTTCCTGAAGATCACCAAGGTGAGAAACGATCGCTCGGGGACACCCCCCCTCCCCCCCCCCACCCCCCCCCCCCCCCCCCCCCCCCCCCCCCCCGTAGCTGGTTAGATGAACGTTCTGTTCAGACTGGAGCTGGCTTAATACGTGGGTCGAACACTGTCCAAAAATCCAAAACGCCGTTCGCTCGGTATTCCGATGGTCTCATTCAATGATTTCAAAAATCGGCCAACCAAATCGTAAAGTTCTCCCCATATAACAGGCGAAACTTCTGCTCCTTCCAGGTCGCAGCTCATGGCGCATATTCTTTTCAGAAAAACGATCGTACGATTTGAACCGTCATTGAGTCGAAAATCGGTCGTTTTTCTTGAATTTTCCAACATGTCCGATCATCACCGAAAAGGGGAGGAGCCACGGAAATCGGCCGGTGCCATTGACCCCCACTAACAGAGCGAAAATCGCCGATTTATTCTTAGGGCCCGATTTTCGGAGGAAAAAACGGTTGAATTTCGACCCATATATGGCCGGCCTTAGGTCAGGGGAGTCAAACTGGCGGCCCTCCAGTTGTTGCGAAACTACAAGTCCCATCATTCCTCTGCCTCTGGCAGTCATGCTTGGAACTGTCAGTCTTGCAATGCCTCATGGGACTTGTAGTTTGGCACCAGCTGCAGGGCCGCCAGTGACACCCATGCTTTAGATGCAGGAAGTGAAATGACGGCCAATCAGATTCTGAACTGAGAGAGAACTCCAGCTATATTATACTGGCCAGAAATCGACCGCGCCATTGGAGTCGTCAGTGGTCCTGTTGGCTCCGCCCAGCTTGCCAATCAGATGCAGCCACTGTTCGGGGTCGTCTGACAGCCTAGGGAGCAGCGCCGTCCGATTACAGAAACATCGAACGATTCCTCCATCCGCGCTGTTTAGTGCGAAGATTTTTCAGGGAGTCTAAAATACGGATTGTAATGAAAACTGCTTTTATTGACAACTTTCGTTCGTGCGTTGAGGGAGGAGCCAGAGAAGGCGAAATACGGGCAGATTACGGCGCAATTTTTTACAGTGGTTCTAAAGTTGAAGTCAGTCCCCCCCCCCCAGTGTCAGAATGCCCCCCGCAGTCCCGCTATAAGTTGCTGATCGCTGCCATTACTAGTATGCAATGAGGAGAGCGAGACCCAGGGAGAGCCGCAGCTCTCATGCACATCGCTGGAGGTAGATGGGGCTCAGGTAAGTAGACGGGGGGCTGAGGGGAGAGCTGCACCCAGAAGGTTTCTTATCTTAGGGCCACATTCACATTGAGCTCTGTGTTTTTTTTTCCAGGCGTTTTGAGTTTTTTTGGCAGATTTGCACATAATTCAGGCGTTTTTTTCATTTAGGTGTTTTGCGGCGGCCAATAGAAACCTGCGTAGACGTGTCCTGGGCACATACCAGGAGAACCGGAACCAAGCACATGGCTGCTGCTGTACACAGAAGTTCTCCTGGTTCTGGGGAGCCGTGTAGCAGTAGCACCTGGGGCAGCACGTTTCGTCCCACGTCCTCCCAGCCTCAGGAGGTTCTTGTCCGGCTCTAATAATGGGGATCCCGGGGGGGGGCCATGAATGAGAGCAATGAGTGTCTCGGCTTCCTCCATTCTGATCACAAGGTGTGGAGAGATGCTAGAAAAGGGGAGCCAAAAACACTAATTTCTCGCTGTTGGGCGTTTTTTTTTCCATTCAAGTCTATGGGACAAAAACACTCAAATGTGAACACGGGCCATTGAAATCAATGGGATTTTCCTTGTTGAAAGTTTTGAGCTGAAAAACCACTCAAGTGTGAACGGGGCCCCTAATGCACGCAATGCATGATGGTCCAAATCCTTCCACCATACAATGGTAAACTCTAAGATTCCCGATGAATCAAATTCAATTCCAGATTGTAAGAGTACAAAATACTGAAAAAAGGAGTGAAGACTTCTGCAGAGGATTGTACATTCCGACTTCACAGTGTGCGTGGCGGTATCGGGACATTCCGACCTCATCCAAATGTGGACACACCCAGCGACTTTCCTCCATATAAGATCTATGTATTGTGATGACCCGGCGTGTTGACGTTGTAACCCTCTCCCCACTCCTCTCCTCTCTCTCTCTCCCCCTCCGGTCCCCTCTCTCCCTCCTCTCCCCCTCTCTCCCTCCCCCTCCCCTCCCCTCTCCCCCCTCTCCCTCTCCCCCCCTCCCTCTTCCCCCCTCTCCCTCTCCCCCCTCTCTCTCCCTCCCCCCTCTCTCCCGCCCCTCTCTCTCTCTCCCCCCCCTCTCTCTCTCCCCTCTCTCTCCCCCCTCTCCCCTCTCTCTCTCTCCCCCCCTCTCTCCCCCCTTTCCCCCCCCCCTCTCCCCCCCTAGCTTCCCCCTTCCCCCCCCCCTAAATTCTCCCCCCCCTTTCTCCCCCCTCTTCTCCCTTTCTCCCCCCCTCGTCTCCTTTCTCCTCTCCCCCCCTCCCCTCTCACTCTCCTCTCCCCCTCTCCCTCACCTCCCCCCTCCCCACTCCCCTCCTCTCCCCTCTCCTCTCTCTCCTCCCCCCTCCCTCTCCTCCCCCCCCCTCACCTCTCCCCCTCACCCCCCCTCCCTCTCTCCTCTCAAGAACCTCCCCCCTCCCTCTCTCTCTCCTCCCCCTCTCCCACTCTCTCTCCTCCCCCCTCCCTCTCCCTCTCATCCCTCCTCTCCGACACTTCCCCCCCCCTCTCTTTCTCCCCCCTCTCCCCCCCCCTCTCTTTCTCTCCCTCCTCTCCCCCCCCCCCCTCTTTCCTCCCCTCTCCCCCCCCTCTCTTTCTCTCACCCTCTGCCCCCCCCCCCTCTCTTCTCTCCCTCCCCCCCCTTCTCTCCCCCCTCCTCTTCCTCCCTCCCTTTCTCTCCCCTCCTCTCCCCCCCTCTCTTTCTCTCCCTCCTCCCCCATCCCCCCCCCCTCGCTCTTTCTCTCCCTCCTCCCCCCCCTCTCTTTTCTCTCCCTCTCCCCCCCCCCCTCTCTTTCTCTCCCTCTCCCCCCCCCCCTCCCTTTCTCCCCTCTCCCTCTCCCCCCCCCTCTCCCCCTCCCTCCTCTCTACCCCCCTCTCTCTCACTTCTCCCCCCCCTCCCCTCTCCCCCCTCCCTTCCTCTCCCCACCTCCCTCCCTCCCCCCCCCCCTTCTCTCCTCCCCCCTCCTCTCCCCCCCTCCCTTTCTCTCTTCCCTCACCCCCCCCCTCTCTTTCCCCCCTCTCTCACCCCCCCCCTCTCCCCCTCACCCCCTCCCCCCCCCCCCCCCCCCCCTCTTTCCTCCCCCCACCCCACCCCTCTCCCCCTACCCCCCCCCCCTTCTCTTTCCCTCCCCTCCCTCTCCCCCCCCCTCCTTTTCTCTCCCCCCCTCCCCCCCCCCCCTCCCCGCCCCTCTCCTCCCCCTCTCCCCTCCCCCATCCCCCCTCCCTCTTCTTTTCCCCCCCCCCCCCCCCCCTCCCCCCCTCCCTCCTCTCCCCCCCCCCCCTCTCTTTCCCCCCTCCCTCCCCCCCCCCCTCTCCCCCCCTCCCCCCCCCCCTCTCTTTCTCCCCCCCCCTCCCCCCCCCCCCCCCTCCACCCTCCCTCCCCTCCCCCCCCCCCCTTTCCTCCCCCTCCCCCCCCCCCCCCCCTCCTCCCCTCCTCTCCCCCCCTCCTCTTTCCCCCTCCTCTCCTTCCCCCCTCCCCCCCTCCCCCCCCCCCCCCTCCTTTCTCCCCTCTCCCCCCCCCTCTCTTCTCCCCCCTCCCCCCCCCTCCTTTATTACCCACCCCCTCCCCTCTCCCCTTCTCCCCCTCCTCCCCTCCCCCACCCTCCCTCCCCTCCCTCCCCCCCCCTCTCTCCCCCCCCCCCTCTCCCCCCCCCCCTCTCCTCCTCTCACCTCCTCCCCCCCCCCTCCTCTTCCTCCCCCCCCCCCCCCTCCCTCCCCCCTCCCCCCCCCCCCCACCCCCCCCCACTTCCTCCCTTTCACTCTCTCCCTCCCCCCCACTCCTTTCTCTCCCTCCCTCCCCCCCTCTCTTTCCCCCCCCCTCCTCTCCCCCCCCCCCTCTATTCTCTCCCTCCCCCCTCCCCCCCCCCTCCTCTTCCCTCCCTCCTCTCCTCACCCCCCCCCCCCCCCCCTCTCCCTCCTCTCTCCCCCCCCCCCTCCTCCTCCCCCCCCCCCCCTTCTCGACCCCCCCTCCCCGCCCTCCCCCCCCCCCTCCTTCTCCTCCCTTCCCCCCTCCCCCCCCCCCTCACTCCCCTCCCCTCTCCCCCTCCCCCCCCCCCCTCTTTCTCCCCTTCCCTCTCCCCCCCCACACCCCCTCCCCTTCTCTCCCATCCCCCTTCTCCCCCCCCCCGCCCCTTTCCTCAAACCTTTCTCTCCCTCCTCTCACCCCCCCCCCCCCTCCCCCCCCCCCCCCTCTCCCCCCCCCCCCTCCCCCCCTCCCTCCCTCCCCCCCCCCCTCTCTTTCCCCCCTCCTCTCCCCCCCCCCCCCGTCTTTCCTACTCCCCCCTCCCCATCCCCCCCCCCCTCCGCCTCCCTCCCTCCCTCTCCCCCCCCCCTCTCTCCCTCCCCCCCCCCCCCCCCCCCCCCTCCCTCTCCCCCTCCAGCTCTCCCCCCCTCTCTTTCTCACCCCCTCCCTCCCCCCCACTCCCCTCCCCACCTCCCTCTCCCCCCCCCTCTCCCTCCCTCCCCCTCCTCTCCCCCCTCTCTCCCTCTCCCCCCCCCCCCTCCCCCTTCCCCCCCCCCCACCCCCTCCCTCTCTCCCCCCCCTCCCTCCCTCCCTACCCTCCCCCCCCTCCCTCCCCCCTCCCCCCCCTCCCCTCTCCTCCCCCCCCCCTCACCTCCCTCCTCTCCCCCCCTCTCTCTCTCCCCTCCTCTCCCCCCCTCTCTTTCTCTCCCCTCCTCTCGCCCCCCCCTCTCTTTCTCTCCCCCTCCTCTCCCCCCTCTCTCTTTCCCAACAATGGGTTTTTTCTCTCCCTCCTCTCCCCCCCTCTCTTCTCTCCCTCCCTCCCCCTCCCCCCCTCTCTCCCTCCTCTCCCTCGCCCCCCCTCTCTCCCTCCTCTCCCCCCCTCTCTCCATCTCCCTCTCTGTCCTCAGCCCACAATCGATGAGAAGATTCAGCTGGTCCCCAAGGCTCAGCCTGGCAGTTTGGGGGAAGGGGAGCAGCGGAGGGGCGAAGACCTCAGAGACAGGTAGGGCCAGTGGAGGAATCGGACGCAGCTGTAGAAATGATACATTTCTGTGTTCTTATTGGTCAGTTTCTATCTGAATATTGTCCTCAGATGACCCAATCAGCCTATTTTCTCACCAATCATCTCTTCTACCACAGAGTCATTGAGGCCGGGGGTCCCCAGTCTGAACCGGGTTTTCGGCTCTTCAGCCTTCCGTTCCTCCAGCGGTGTCCTCCTCCTCTTCTTCCTCTGAACAGGACAGCCGCAGGATATTGACAAGGTAATGGAGGTGGTTGTGAGATCTGGGATGACCTAAACCCAGCCTGTCCAGTAACAGAAGGTTTGTCATGGTGTCCCTCATCTGACATCTCTGTGCTGGTTCCCCCAGCCATGGAAACACGGGACGGGAGAAGAACGACAAGCCTGCACCACCCACCACCTCAGCCACCCGCCCCAGCAGTTTACTGCGAGGCAGCAGTACGAAGGACCTCATAGACAATCAAGAAGACCTGAGGCGGGAGCCTCTCCACACGGGAAAACCGCTGAGCACCTCCACCGAGCAGGAGAAGACTTCCAGCTTAGAGCGGAAGAGCAAAGAGCCAGGTGAGCGATCGGTCCTGCGCTTAGCGATTCTCCGAAATGTTATCCAAGTCTGAGAGCCGAGCGCCGTCCTGGAATGTATGCCTTTGTATTCACCAATCACAGATCACAGGTCTTCTCTGGGGCAGATTTGAGATCTGTTGTGTCCTTGTCCACCATTGAGGTGTCCTTTGTCTAGAAGACCATCGCTGGGCGTTCTCTGAATTGCGTTTTACCTGCAAATTATTGAACCAATGTAAATGGGTCATTGTTTCTTCACAGCCAAGAGTGAGAGCGCAGAACCCGACAAGTCTCCGGTGTCAGAAGAAGAACTGGAAAGGAAATCGAAGGCCATCATAGACGAGTTCCTCCATATCAACGACTACAAGGTCAGAGAGGCTCCTATGGCCATTTCACATCACGCCCGCTTCGGATGTAATTGGGTTCCCTGTTTCTTCCCTGTCTCCAGGAGGCCATGCAATGTGTGGAGGAACTGGGGGCTCAGGGCACGCTGTCGGTCTTTGTACGGGTGGGCGTGGAATCGACCTTAGAAAGAAGTCAGATCACCAGAGATCACATGGGGCAGCTGCTCTACCATTTGGTGCAGTCCGGGAAGCTCAGCAAGCAGGACTTCTTCACAGGGTGAGATGTGATGACCCCCCCAGAGATCAGTGCTTGGGGTCCACACCTGGTCTGGGTGTCCTCCTGACACTTCGATAGATCAGGACAAGTACCTGGAAATATTCTGGGTTTTCTTTCATTCCATTTTTAATGGCTTTGTCATTTGTCCAAAACAGTGTAAGGTTCAGAACCCTAAATCCTTCCAGACATGTCCATGTCCCCAGCAGTGGGGTGGTCACACCCAGGGACAATGGTCCCCCCAATGCACTGGTATCAGTGGGATAGTGGTCCTCAGATGAGACTAGGCTCTGAAATCATTGGTATTCGTGGGAAAGTTTCCCCCAGGAATTAATAGCTCCCCAAATCATTGGTGTCATTTGGATAGTGGGGCCAAGGGGAGAATGCTCACCCAATTTCATTGGTGTCAGTGGGATAGTGAGAAGAGCCCCCAAATCATTGGTGTCAATGAAATAGTATCCCCGAAAGGACAATGGCCCCACCATCATAGGTGTCAGTGGGATGGTGGCACCCAGAGGAAGAATAGGCCCTCAAATCATTGGTGTCAGTGGGATAGTGGGGCCAAGGGGAGAATGCCCCACCCTCTATATACTTGGTGTTAGTGGGATAGTGGCACCCAGAGTAGAAAAGCCCTCAAATCATTGGTGTGAATGGAATAGTAACCCCCAAAGGAGAATACCCATCAAATCATTGGTGTCAGTGGGATAGTGTCCTCCAGGACAGAATGGCCCTCAAATCATTGGTGTCAGTGGGATAGTGTCCTCCAGGACAGAATGGCCCTCAAATCATTGGTGTCAGTGGGATAGTGTCCTCCAGGACAGATTGGCCCTCAAATCATTGGTGTCAGTGGGATAGTGTCCTCCAGGACAGATTGCCCTCAAATCATTGGTGTCAGTGGGGATAGTGTCCTCCAGGACAGAATGGCCCTCAAATCATTGGTGTCAGTGGGATAGTGTCCTCCAGGACAGAATGGCCCTGAAATCATTGGTGTCAGTGGGATAGTGTCCTCCAGGACAGAATGGCCCTGAAATCATTGGTGTCAGTGGGATAGTGATAGTTCCCCTCCAGGACAGAATGGCCCTCAAATCATTGGTGTCCGTAGGATAGTGTCCTCCAGGACAGAATGGCCCTCAAATCATTGGTGTCAGTGGGATAGTGGTCCTCCAGGACAGATTGGCCCCTCAATCATTGGTGTCAGTGGGAATAGTGTCCCCCAGGACAGAATGCCCCTCAAATCATTGGTGTCCTCCAGACAGGACAGAATGGCCCTCAAATCATTGGTGTCAGTGGGATAGTGGCCCCTAGAGGAAAATAGCCCACAAATCATTGGTATCCATGAGATAGTGGCCTCCAAGAGAGAGTTGGCCTTTAAATCATTGGTGCTGCTGAGATAGTGGCTCCTAGAGGAGAGAAGCCCCCCAAGTCATTGGTGTCAGTGGGGAAAATGGGCCCCAGGGCAGATGACATCCCCCAAACCATTGGTGTCAGTGATGGGACTTACCTTAGGACAGGAGCTAGTGCTGCCTGCAGTGAAGCCTGATGATCATAGGCCCGCCAGTGCCTCTCCTAATGACGTCTTTCTGTGCACATGGGCATTCACAAATGGCAGTACCCTGGGGGATGCAGCAGGTGGGGCCCTCTGGAGGATCTTCCACTGGGCTAGTCTGAGCCTGGTGTGCCAGTAGCTGTCAGAGCAGACAGGAAGCTGGGGCCCGGCAGGAAAAGGTTGTAGTCTGGTGGTTGGGAACCATTGATTTAGGAAATGTTCCGATTCCCGGCTTCGTTTCTCCAGCTTTGTCAGCTGTCTGGAGTTTCGGCTCTGTGATTGGCTGCCAGCTAGAGCCCAGAATTAGGAAACGTGTCCCCATTCCACGGCTTGTTTGTGAATATTCTGCCTATAGGGACTTATCTCATCCCCCGCCGCTCAGCATATGTTTGGTGGATAGATATTGTGTGACTGATTGCTGAGCCTCTGTGCGCCACGCCCTGTGCGCCACGCCCTGCGCACACTACACCCTGTATACTACAAACCCTGTACACTACGCCACACTACGCCACACCCTGTACACTACACCCTGTGCACCACGCCCTGTGCGCCACCGCCCTGTACACTACACACTGCGCCACACCCTGTGCACCACGCCCCTGTGCGCCACGCCCTGTACACTACACACTGCGCCACACCCTGTACACTACACCCTGTGCACCACACCCTGTACACTACACACTGCGCCACACCCTGTGCACCAGACCCTGTACACTACACACTGCGCCACACCCTGTACACTACACCCTGTACACTACACCCTGTGCGCCACGCCCTGTGCGCCACGCCCTGTACACTACACACACTGCGCCACACCCTGTGCACCCCACCCTGTGCACCACGCCCTGTACACTACACCCTGTACTACACACCCTGTACACTACACACTGCGCACCACACCCTGTACACTACACACTGCGCCACACCCTGTACACTACACCCTGTGCACCACACCCTGTGCACCACACACCACGCCCTGTACACTACACCCTGTGCACTACACACTGCGCCACACCCTGTACACTACACCCTGTGCACCACGCCCTGTGCACCACACCCTGTGCACCACGCCCTGTACACTACACCCTGTGCACTACACACTGCGCCACACCCTGTACACTACACCCTGTGCACCACGCCCTGTACACTACACACCCTGTGCACTACACCCCTGTACACCACACCCTGTACACCACACCCTGTGCACCACGCCCTGTGCGCCACGCCCTGTACACTACACACTGCGCCACACCCTGTGCCACGCCACCACACCCTGTGCACCACGCCCTGTGCGCCACGCCCTGTACACTACACCCTGTGCACACACACCCTGTACACTACACACTGCGCCACACCCTGTACACTACACCCTGTGCACCACGCCCTGTGCACCACACCCTGTGCACCACGCCCTGTACACACTACACCCTGTGCACCACACACTGTACGCCACACCCTGTACACCACACCCTGTGCACTACACACTGCGCCACACCCTGTACACTACACCCTGTGCACCACGCCCTGTGCGCCACGCCCTGTACACTACACACTGCGCCACACCCTGTGCACCACACCCTGTGCACCACGCCCTGTGCGCCACGCCCTGTACACTACACACTGCGCCACACACCCTGTACACTACACCCTGTGCACCACCACACCCTGTACACTACACACTGCGCCACACCCTGTGCACCACACCCTGTGCACCACGCCCTGTGCGCCCCCACGGGCACGCCCTGTACACTACACACTGCGCCACACCCTGTACACTACACCCTGTGCACCACACCCTGTGCGCCACGCCCTGTACACTACACCCTGTGCGCCACGCCCTGGTACACTACACACACTGCGCCACACAAACCCTGTACACTACACCCTGTGGCACCACGCCCTGTGCGCCACGCCCTGTACACTACACCCTGTGCACCACACCCTGTACACTACACCCTGTGCACCACACCCTGTACACTACACACTGCACCACACCCTGTACACTACACCCTGTGCACCACTGCCCTGTACACCACGCCCTGTGCGCCACGCCCTGTACACTACACCCTGTGCACCACGCCCTGTACACTACACACTGCGCCACGCCCTGTGCACCACGCCCTGTACACCACGCCCTGTGCACCACGCCCTGTGCACCACGCCCTGTGCACCACACGCCCTGTGCACCACGCCCTGTGCGCCACGCCCTGTGCACCACGCCCTGTGCGCCACGCCCTGTGCACCACGCCCTGTGCACCACGCCCTGTACACACACACCCTGTGCACCACACCCTGTACACTACACCCTGTGCACCACACACCCTGTACACTACACACTGCCACACCCTGTACACTACACCTGTGCACCACGCCCTGTACACCACGCCCTGTGCGCCACGCCCTGTACACTACACCCTGTGCACCACACCCTGTACACTACAACCCTGTGCACTACGCCCTATGCGCCACGCCCTGTACACTACACACTGCACTACACCCTGTTCGCCACGCCCTGTACACTACACCCTGTATAACACTACACCCTTGTGCACCACACCCTGTACACTACACACTGCGCCACACCCTGTACACCACGCCCTGTACACTACACACTGCGCCACACACCCTGTACACTACATCACTGTGCACCACACCCGGTACACTACACACTGCACCACGCCCTGTGCGCCACACACCCGGTACACTACACACTGCACCACACCCTGTACACTACACACCTGTGCGCCACGCCCGGTACACTACACACTGCACCACGCCCGCCCGGTACACTACACCCTGTGCGCCACACCCAGTACTCTACACACTGCACCACGCCCGGTACACTACACACTGCACCACGCCCGGTACACTACACACTGCACCACTCCCTGTACACTACACACTGCACCACACCCTGTACACTACACCCTGTGCACCACGCCCGGTACACTACACACTGCACCACGCCCGGTACACTACACACTGCACCACGCCCGGTACACTACACACTGCACCACGCCCGGTACACTACACACTGCACCACGCCCGGTACACTACCACCCTGTGTGCACCAACCCCGGTACACTACACACTGCACCACGCCCGGTACACTACACACACTGCACCACGCCCTGCACACTACACACTACGCCCTGCCCTGTACACTGCACCACGCCCCGGTACGCCAAGCCCTGTGCAATAACCACCTGTATTCTATTCAGATTTTCGGAAACTCTGGAGCTGGCGGATGATATGGCGATTGACATCCCACATATCTGGCTGTACCTGGCAGAGTTGGTGACCCCCCATGTTGAAGGAAGGTGGCATCTCATTGAAAGAGTTAATCACGTGAGTGAATAGTGCCCTCGCAACACTACATCCAGTACACCCCCCCTTACATCAGAAGTCAAGGGCCCCCCGCCATCAGGGGTTAACCCCCCCTTACATCAGAAGTCAAGGGCCCCCCGCCATCAGGGGTTAAGGGCCCCCCTTACATCAGAAGTCAAGGGCCCCCCGCCATCAGGGGTTAAGGGCCCCCCTTACATCAGAAGTCAAGGGCCCCCCTTACATCAGAAGTCAAGGGCCCCCCTTACATCAGAAGTCAAGGGCCCCCCTTACATCAGAAGTTAAGGGCCCCCCCGCCATCAGGGTTAAGGGCGCCCCGCCCTAATAGATTATCGCGATCTCACGTTTGCTTTCTGTTTCGTTCCGTGGTTGCAGCCAATCACCTGCAGCCACTGATGGGTGTATTGTAGTCATGGTGGGTGTGGCTGTGGGGATCCAGTGTCCTGGTGGGGAGGGATTCCTCCATCCTCATGAATCTGTTATCAGACTGAAGGCTTTCTCCTTTACAGAGAGTTCAACAAGGCTCTGCTCCCTGTGGGCCGCGGGGAGGGGTATTGCTGTCAGAAATCTTGCACCTTCTATGCAAACAAATGGTATGTTATCCGTATAGCGTGTTGTCATACATGGGGCATGCGTGTGCCGTGTCCTCCTGTAAGTCACGTGTCCTCATGCCGTATTCCAGAGCCATAAGAAAGTGGCGGCGTTGTGGAGGGAGACGGGACTGAGATGGAAAGATCTATTACCCGACGGGGAGGACGTGCAGAGCTTTTGTGAGCGAGAAGGTGAGACGGCCGGCTGTGTGATCCTGTACTCCGCAGGAACTTTACCCCCCCCCCCCCCCCCCTGTACTCCGCAGGAATTTTACCCCCCCCCCCCCCCTGTACTCCGCAGGAACTTTTACCCCCCCCCCCTGTACTCCGCAGGAACTTTTTACCCCCCCCCCCTGTACTCCGCAGGAACTTTAACCCCCCCCCCCCCCTGTACTCTGCAGGAACTTTAACCCCCGTTTGTACCCCCCCCCCCCCCCCCCTGTACTCCGCAGGAACTTTACCCCCCCCCTGTACTCCGCAGGAACTTTACCCCCCCCCCCCGTACTCTGCAGGAACTTTACCCCCCCCCTGTACTCTGCAGGAACTTTACCCCCCCCTGTACTCTGCAGGAACTTTACCCCCCCCCCCCCCCCCCCCCCCCCCCCCGTACTCTGCAGGAACTTTACTCCCCCCCCCCCCCCCCCCCTGTACTCTGCAGGAACTTAACCCCCCCCCCTCGTACTCTGCAGGAACTTTACCCCCCACCCCCCCCCCTGTACTCTGCAGGAACTTTACATACCCCCCCCCCCCCCCTGTACTCTGCAAAACTTAACCCCCCCCCCTCCTGTACTCTGCATACACTCTACAGGAACTTTACCCCCCCTCCTGTACTCTGCATACACTCTACCCCCCCCCCCTGTACTCTGCATACACTCTACTCTGCACACCCCCCCCCCCCCCCCGTACTCTGCATACACTCTACACCCCCCCTCCGTACTCTGCATACACTCTACAAACCCCCCCCCCCGTACTCTGCATACACCCCCACCCCCCCCCCCCCCCGTACTCTGCATGCACTTTACCCCCCCCCTCCTGTACTCTGCATACACTCTACACCCCCCCCCGTACTCTGCATGCACTTTACCCCCCCCCCCCCCCCCTATACTCTGCATTCACTCTGCACCCCTCTTGCTCTATAAAATATACCCCCCCCCCCCTGTACTCCTTGTCCCCAGAATCTGGACTTCACGTTGTCAGACTGTTCCAGCCCTTCAGAGAGGAAGGAGATGACGGCGGAGGAGCTGAACAAGCGTCTGGAACAGCTGATCATCGAGGAGACCCCCCCAGCGATGAGCACATATTTGACTGGGTAGAGGTGAGTTCTGTGTCCTATATGAAATGTATCCGGGTATACCCGAGTGTGCCTGAGGAATCTGGGCTTAATACTGCTGTTGGCGATGCCGGAGGACGGGTTTGAGGCTCTCATTGGCCATGCTGGAGGACCGGTTTGAGGCTCACGTTGGCCATGCCAGAGGAACGGTTTGAGGCTCTCGGTTAACGATGCCGGAGGACAAGTTTGAGGCTCTCATTGGCCATCCGTAGGATGACCGATTTGAGGCTACCCGTGTAACTGATGCCGGAGGACAAGTTAATGAGGCTCTGTTGGCGATGCCAGAGGAACGGTTTGAGCTCTCGTTGGCGATGCCGGAGGACAAGTTTGAGGCTCTCATTGGCCATCCCAGAGGACCGGTTTCAGGCTCTCGTTAACGATGCCGGAGGACAAGTTTGAGGCTCTCGTTGGCGATGCCGGAGGTCCGGTTTGAGGCTCTCATTGGCCATGCCAGAGGACCGGTTTAAGGCTCTCGTTAACGATGCCGGAGGACAAGTTTGAGGCTCTTGTTGGCGATGCTGGAGGACAGTTTGTACTTGTCCTTTACTGCGGTTGAATATGTTTCTCTAGTTCATTGAGTCAGTTGAACGCCATGACGTGCAGTTGGCTCACCATACACGTTAGGTTCTGGTTGTACAATCTCCTTTCGATTTATCAAACCTGTGCAATACGAGACCTAAACTGTCTATCCAGTCAGGCCGGCCCTTGTACTCCATACTTGGTGGATGGAAATGAGATTGTGTGATTGGATGGTGCGGTGAGCTCCTCTTCTAGCAGAATGCAGTCCATTGGTTACGTCTCGGAATACTTGGATTAGTGTTCAGGGAAGTGTCCAATCATGGACATGGATTGTGGAATGCATCCGCCCCCCTTTAGTGAATGGCGTGTCTGGCAGTACAGCGGGTAGTAGACTCACGTGTCCCATGTCCATTGTGAATGCCCCGGAATTGTGGCGTCCTGTGTGCCGCCCCCCGTGTCCCGTGTGCTGCCCCCCGTGTGCCGACCCCTGTGTCCTGTGTGCCAACCCCCGTGTCCCGTGTGCTGCCCCCCGTGTGCCGACCCCGTGTCCCGTGTGCTGCCCCCCGTGTGCCGACCCCGTGTCCCGTGTGCTGACCCGGCTTCTCCTCTTCCAGGCTAATCTAGACGAAGGCCAGATGACGTCTCCGACATTCCTTAGAGCTTTAATGACCGCAGTGTGCAAAGCGGCGATTGTGGGTGAGTGTTTGTGATTGGCCGGGCCGTGTGAGGTGGCAGCAACGCTCTGACAGGTTCTCTTCTCTTCCTCCCAGGGGATTGTTCTTCCTGCCGTGTGGACACCACCTTCCTCAAACAGAAGGTTCCAGTCTTAGTGAAGTACATGGACTCCAATGTAGAGAGGGAACTACAAGCACTTTATGCACTTCAAGCATTGATAGTAAAACTTGATCAACCTCCCAGTGAGTACAAGCCGGGGCCCCCGACCCCCACTATAATCTGCAGCTCCTCAACCCCCCCCCCCCCCACCCCCCTGCTGCTGGCCCCTGCTCCTCAACCACCCCCCCCCCACCCCATGCTGCTGGCCCCTGCTCCTCAACCCCCATGCTATGCTGCTGGCCCCTGCTCCTCAACCCCCATGCTATGCTGCTGGCCCCTGCTCCTCAACCCCCATGCTATGCTGCTGGCCCCTGCTCCTCACCCCCAATGCTATGCTGCTGGCCCCTGCTCCTCACCCCCCATGCTATGCTGCTGGCCCCTGCTCCTCACCCCCCATGCTATGCTGCTGGCCCCTGCTCCTCACCCCCCATGCTATGCTGCTGGCCCTGCTCCTCACCCCCCATGCTATGCTGCTGGCCCCTGCTCCTCACCCCCCATGCTATGCTGCTGGCCCCTGCTCCTCACCCCCCATGCTATGCTGCTGGCCCCTGCTCCTCACCCCCCATGCTATGCTGCTGGCCCCTGCTCCTCACCCCCCATGCTATGCTGCTGGCCCCTGCTCCTCACCCCCCATGCTATGCTGCTGGCCCCTGCTCCTCACCCCCCATGCTATGCTGCTGGCCCCTGCTCCTCACCCCCCATGCTATGCTGCTGGCCCCTGCTCCTCACCCCCCATGCTATGCTGCTGGCCCCTGCTCCTCACCCCCCCATGCTATGCTGCTGCCCCCCCTGCTCCTCACCCCCATGCTATGCTGCTGGCCCCTGCTCCTCACACCCCATGCTATGCTGCTGGCCCCTGCTCCTCAACCCCCATGCTATGCTGCTGGCCCCTGCTCCTCACCCCCCATGCTATGCTGCTGGCCCCTGCTCCTCACCCCCCATGCTATGCTGCTGGCCCCTGCTCCTCTCCCCCCATGCTATGCTGCTGGCCCCTGCTCCTCACCCCCCATGCTATGCTGCTGGCCCCTGCTCCTCACCCCCCATGCTATGCTGCTGGCCCCTGCTCTCCTCACCCCCCATGCTATGCTGCTGGCCCCTGCCCCTCCTCACCCCCCATGCTATGCTGCTGGCCCCTGCTCCTCACCTCCCATGCTATGCTGCTGGCCCCTGCTCCTCACACCCCATGCTATGCTGCTGGCCCCAGCTTCTCTCACCCCCCATGCTATGGTGCTGGCCCCAGCTTCTCTCACCCCCCGTCCCACGCTGCTGGCCCCAGCTTCTCTCACCCCCCGTCCCACGCTGCTGGCCCCAGCTTCTCTCACCCCCCGTCCCACGCTGCTGGCCCCAACTTCTCTCACCCCCCGTCCCACGCTGCTGGCCCCAGCTTCTCTCACCCCCATCCCATGCTGCTGTCCCTCGCCCTTCACCCCTCAACGCATGCTGTGTTCCACATCTCTTCACCACCTTATCCCACACGGCTGCTCCCCCACCCCCATACCATCTTAACCCCCCTTCCTCTTGTTGCACTTACCACACACCCCAGGGTGGCACGACCCCTACCTCCTCAACACCTCCTTGTCTTCACCCTGGTCACAGCACTTTTGTGCCACTCCTCTGAATCACATCACCTTCCTTCCATCCCCCTTCCCAGGCCCAGCACCCCACCCCACTTGGTCACATTGCCCTTCCCCCCCACGGCAGTGTTCCAGTGGTGTGAATATCCCGAATTGCTGCATTTGCAGATCTGTCATTTGATTGGGAGGTGGTGCGATAGTCGCTCTAACACAGGGTCTCTCTCGGCAGACTTGCTCCGCATGTTTTTTGACTGCCTCTACGACGAAGAAGTCATATCGGAGGACGCCTTCTACCGGTGGGAGAGCAGCAAAGACCCCGCGGAGCAGAACGGGAAAGGCGTAGCACTAAAGTCAGTCACTGCCTTTTTCACGTGGCTGCGAGAAGCCGAGGAGGAATCCGAGGACAACTAGGAATATGACATTCTAAAGACCCTCAAAGACGGACGAGACACAGCAAGGGCCACGTTCAGCATCTTTATAGACTTTTTTTTTTTTTTTTTCGTTTCTCTGTTCGCCAATCAGGGTACAGAAAATGGATGAAAAACAAGCAAGAATGGATGAAACGGGATTCACCTCCTCGGTGATACAACCGTGACCCAGTCCAAGAATTAATTTAAGTTTGAGGGGGAGGAGCAATTCAAGAAGTGGATCGGGGGAGGTCGCCCCTGTGCATTGTGGGAAGGAAGGGTCCTTCCCTCTATACTATTTATAGAAGTAAATATCATTTTTTTTTATTTTTTTTTTAATAATGCCCTCTCATGCTCTCATATTTTTATTTTTTTTTTTTTTTTTGAAGCAGAGAAATAGCAAAGAGAGACTTGCCCTTGGAAAACAAAAAATCCACAAATCATTTCAGAAAAGAGAGAGAATAATTTATTATCCACGGACTACATGAGCCAGCGTTTCCTCCGTTCTGTGAAGCAGATGTACTGTAGAAGACGGGAAACCTGGACCTTCCTCGCATTGTAGCCTGCCTTTTATATTTAAAAAGAAAAAAAGAAAAAAGAAAAAAAAAAAAGATATAAAAGATAATGTTTTATGACAGGTTTGAGCTTTGACTGTCTCAGCGCTAGCGGGTTCAGTTGGGAAAGGTTTGCGATGAGCTGAATTCTGACCTGCAAGGCTCCCTCCTCACACTGTGTCCATCCAGTACCCAATGTGACCATCGGAGGCGCTACGGAGCGTGCCCGACCGATGACACGGGATCTGGCGTTTTTGGCGCGGTACGCAGTGCTAATGGTTATCGGACAGTACCCGATTCTGGCTTCCCGCTCTCGGCTCTGTGGAAGCGCCGGAGCTAACCCTTTAGGCAAATAATTCCAGACGCCGACTGTTGTCTTCGCTCATCAGATCGGCGTCGCCGTGACGCATGAATACACGAAAATGGAAAAAAAAAAATTGCAGTTCAGTATTTTAACAGTTGAATCGCCGCAGATTTAGAAGCTGACAAGTTACAGGAGGCCTCCGACAGGACGTGAACGCGGGAAGGGGGAGCGTGACTCTGGGCCTGAACAAGCTGCAGCCAACATGAGTGCAGCTTTCCAAACTAACGGCACGTGGACTGTGCCACGCTTTCTCTTATGTTGTATTTCTATTCATTTTAGCCCGGTTTCCTATGGAAAGAAAGGCTAATAAAACTCTGTACCCTGTTTCTGCATTGTCTCTTTTTGTGTCTACGTGTTTCGCTGGGGTGAGGGGAATAATTTAGGGAGGATAGGGGGGGGTGGTAAATGAGGCCCTGTATGGTGTGTGCAGAGGGAACATGGGCATGTGTGTGGTGGGGGGGGGGTGTAAATGAGGCCTTGTAGGTGGTGTGCAGAGGGAACATGGGCATGTGTGTGGGGGGGTAAATGAGGCCTTGTAGGGTGTGTGGACGAGGAATCGGGTTCTGTAGGGTGTGTGGAGAAGGTATTGGGTTCCTGTAGGGTGTGTGGAGAAGGGATTGGGTTCCTGTAGGGGGGTGTGGAGGAGGGATGGGGTTGTATATGGGGTGTGTGGAGAAGGGATTGGGTTCCTGTAGGGTGTGTGGAGGAGGGATGGGTTCCTGTAGGGTGTGTGGAGAAGGGATTGGGGTTGTGTAGGGTGTGTGGAGAAGGGATTGGGTTCCTGTAGGGTGTGTGTGGAGAAGGGATTGGGTTCCTGTAGGGTGTGTGGAGAAGGGATTGGGTTCCTGTAGGGTGTGTGGAGAAGGGATTGGGTTCCTGTAGGGTGTGTGGAGAAGGGATTGGGTTCCTGTAGGGTGTGTGGAGAAGGGATTGGGTTCCTGTAGGGTGTGTGGAGCAGGGGTGGGGTCCTGTAGGGTGTGTGGAGCAGGGGTGGGGTCCTGTAGGGTGTGTGGAGGAGGGATGGGGTTGTATAGGGTGTGTGGAGAAGGGATTGGGTTCCTGTAGGGTGTGTGGAGAAGGGATTGGGTTCCTGTAGGGTGTGTGGAGCAGGGGTGGGGTCCTGTAGGGTGTGTGGAGGAGGGATGGGGTTGTATAGGGTGTGTGGAGAAGGGATTGGGTTCCTGTAGGGTGTGTGGAGAAAGGATTGGGTTCCTGTAGGGTGTGTGGAAAGGATTGGGTTCCTGTAGGGTGTGTGGAGAAGGGATTGGGTTCCTGTAGGGTGTGTGGAGAAGGGATTGGGTTCCTGTAGTGGGTGTGTGGAGAAGGGATTGGGTTCCTGTAGGGTGTGTGGAGAAGGGATTGGGTTCCTGTAGGGTGTGTGGAGCAGGGGTGGGGTCCTGTAGGGTGTGTGGAGCAGGGGTGGGGTCCTGTAGGGGTGTGTGGAGCAGGGGTGGGGTCCTGTAGGGTGTGTGGAGGAGGGATGGGGTCCTGCAGGGAAGAAGGGGACAAAGTCATATAGGGTGTGTGAAGCAAGGATTGTGTCCTGTGAGGTGTGTAGAAGAGTGGGATGCTTTAGGGTGTGTGTAGGGAGATGGGGGGGGGGGGGGGGGGGGGGTTGAGGTCCTAAGGTGTATGGAGGAGGGATGGGTTTCTGTAGAATGTATGTAGGCAGAAGAGGGTAGTGGGGTGGGGGTGATGTCCTGTAGGGTGTATGAAGGAGGAATGGGGTCCTGTAGGGTGTGTGTAGGGAAGGGTGGGGTGGGGGTGATGTCCTGTAGGGTGTAAGGAGGAGGAAGGAATGGGGTCCTGTAAGTTGTGCAAGGAAGGGGGGTGATGTCCTGTAGGGTCTGTGGAGGAGGGATGGGGTCCTGTAGGGAAGGGTGGAGTGGGGGTGATTTCCTGTAGGGTGGAAGGAGGAGAGATGGAGTCCCGTAGGGTGTGTGTGGAAGGGGGGGCAAGATACTGTAGGGTGTGGTGCAAATATTGAGTTCTGTGAAGTGTGTGGAGAAGGGGGAGGATGGGGTCCTGTAGGTTGGTTGTTGGGGTCCTGTAGGTTGGTTGTTGGGGTCCTGTAGGTTGGGTGTTGGATGGGGTCCTGTAGGTTGGGGGTGGATGGGGTCCTGTAGGTTGAGTGTTGGGGGGTGGATGGGGTCCTGCAGGTTGTTGGAGGGTCCTGTTGGGGGAGGGTGGGTGGGGGCAGGGGGTCCTGTAGGTTGGGGTCCTGTAAGTTGGGGGGGGGATGGGGTGGGGGGGTGGTGGGGTCCTGTAGGTTGGGGTTGGGTTGGATGGGGTCCTGTAGGTTGGTGGGGCGGGGGGTAGGTTGGGGTCCTGTAAGTGTAGTTGGGGGGGATGGGGTCCTGTAGGTTGGGGGGTGGATGGGGTCCTGTAGGTTGGGTGATGGGGGGGGGTGTGGGGGTGGATGGGGTCCTGTAGGTTGGGGGGTGGATGGGGTCCTGTAGGGGTGGATGGGGTCCTGTAGGTTGGGGGGTGGATGGGGTCCTGTAGGTTGGGGGGTGGATGGGGTCCTGTAGGTTGGGTTTTGGGTGGATGGGGTCCTGTAGGTTGGGGGGTGGATGGGGTCCTGTAGGTTGGGTTTTGGGTGGATGGGGTCCCGTAGGTTGGGTTTGGGTGGATGGGGGTAGGTTGGGGGTGGATGGGGTCCTGTAGGTTGGGGGGGGGGTGGATGGGGGTCCTGTAGGTTGGGGGGTGGATGGGGGTCCTGTGTAGGTTTGGGGGGTGGATGGGGTCCTGTAGGTTGGGGGGTTGGGGGGGGGGATGGGGTCCCTGTAGGGGGGTAGGTTGGGTTTTGGGGTGGATGGGGGGGTCCTGTAGGTTGGGGGGGGTGGTCCTGGTTGGGGGGTGGTAGGTTGTAGGGGTTGGGTGGATGGGGGTCCAGTAGGTTGGGTGTTTGGATGGGGTCCTGTAGGTTGGGGGGTGGATGGATGGGGTCCTGTAGGTTGGGGGGGTGGATGGGGTCCTGTAGGTTCCTGGGGGTGGATGAGGTTCTGTAGGTTGGGTGTTGGATGGGGTCCTGTAGGTAGGTTGGGGGCGTATGGGGTCCTGTAGGTTGGGTGTTGGGGGATGGGGTATGGGGTCCTGTAGGTGGGTTTTGGGGATGGGTCCCGTAGGTTGGGGGGCTGGATGGAGTCCCTAGGTTGAGGGGTGGATGGGGTCCCTGTAGGTTGGGGGGTGGATGGGTTCCTGTAGGTTGGGTGTTGGGGGGGGGGCGATGGGGTCCTGTAGGTTAGGTGGATGGGTGTAGGTTGGGGGGGGATGGGGTCCCCGTAGGTTGGGGGGTGCGTATGGGGTGGGTTTTGGGGGATGGGGGTAGGTTGGGGGCTGGATGGAGTCCCGTAGGTTGAGGGGTGGATGGGTCCCGTTGGGTGGATGGGGGTCCTGTAGGTTTGGGGGGTGGGGTCCTGTAGGTTGGGTTAGGTTGGGGTGGATGGGGTCCTGTAGGTTGGGGTGGATGGGTCCTGTAGGTTGGTGGGGGGGATGGGGTCCTGTAGGTTGGGGTGGATGGGGTCCTGTAGGTTGGGGGGTGTAGGTTGGGTGGATCCTGTAGGTTGGGTTTTGGGGGTGGATGGGGTCCTGTTGGATGGGTCCCGTAGGGGTCCTGTAGGTTGGATGGGGTTGGGGGGGGGTGGATGGGGTCCTGTAGGTTGGGTGTTGGGGGGGTATGGGGTCCCTGTAGGTTGGGGGGCGGATGGGGTTGGGTGTTGGGGGGGGCTGTATGGGGTTTGGGTGGATGGGGTATGTAGGTTGGGTGTTGGGTGGGGGGGTATGGGTCCTGTAGGGTTTGGAAGGGGTCCTGTAGGATGGATGGGGTCCTGTAGGTTGGATGAGGTTCTGTAGGTTGGGTGGTATGGGGTCCTGTAGGTTGGGGGTTGGATGGGGTCCCTGTAGGTTGGGGTGTTGGGGGGGGCGTATGGGGTCCCCGTAGGTTGGGGCTGGATTGGGTCCCGTAGGTTGAGGGGTGGATGGGGTCCCGTAGGTTTGGGGGGTGGATGGGTCCTGTAGGTTGGTGTTGGGGGGGGCGTATGGGGTCTTGTAGGTTGGGTTTTGGGTGGATGGGGTCCCGTAGGT